AGATATATTCAGGTCTCGGCTAGTCTATACCGACATTATCTTATCAAGGCAATTACATGGTCTGACGACTATTCTTGACCAATTTTTAATATTTTATCACAGATTTTATACATATCCCAATAACTCACCTGCCGCCCACCCACATCACGTCGAGACGCCTCTGCCCATTCAGAGAACAAAAAAAGAGGAAACCGAAGTTGCTGCTTCATCAGCAGAAAATGAGTTGTCGTAGCGTGGCTGTTGTCATGACGGGCTGATGATGCCAAAGAGGCGCTGTACCATTGATTGCATTTCCCAGCCAATGAAATAATGCTACATGGTTGTGATAAACAATCGAGCACTTCAAATCATAGACGAAAGCTTTCGCGCCTATACATAGACTTAGCACATTTGATACTAGCCATCCTAAATACAGAAATCCTACATCGCCCGACGCCATGACAAGATACAAAAGCCAAAAAGTATCGCCAATTCCCGACGCCAAATTCGCGCTCCCGTGGTATCTTTGCCCGCCCTCCCAGTATAAAGAATGTAAATCGGTGAAAGACGAAATAGAAAATTGCACAATACCCAAAAATACTGTCGCGACATCAGACAAGCTCGTCCGCGTCGTCCATGTCTTCTTCGATACCGTCCAAGAAGTGATTGCCGTCGTACTTGGCAATAGTAGGCAAGTCTTCCTTGATTGGAAATCCGTATTTGAGCACACCGGCTTCGCCGCCAACAATGCCAGAGGGCGTGGCGGGATGACCCTCTCGCAGCCATTCTTGCAACTTCAAGGCAGCGCGGGAGATCTCCAAGCAAATGTGCCAATTGTCCAATCCAATGGATAAGAGTGCCACGACCATGAGCATCTTGGAAAATCGAGCAGGTGGTGTGTCGTGTCCACTCGGAATTAGGCCAATAGTAATCCAGTGGTACACCCCAAGAACAGTCTTCCATTGAGCCAGAGGTACCTCCCAAATGTTGGCCCAAATTTGGGTGAATTCGTTTGAGTCGCAAACGTGGCTAGTTGGGACGCGAGCTAAGATGGCACGGCAATAAATGAGCGCTACGTTGCGGATGACACGGTACATGAGGTCCGGACGCTGCGGAGTTGTATACTGGTCGCTCCCGCTCCGAGTGGGTGACGTTTCTGGAGTCGAGACGGCCTCGTCTTTCGGGGTGCAGCTTTCAAAAATGCTGCTGGAATACGTGTTTTCGGGGGACGATGCCTCCCATCGCGCGCTCGTGCCGCTGGATGATCTGTCAGTGTTCGAATAGGCATCTGTCAACACCGGCTGTTGACTATGGGGCTGCGGCATCTGCTGAGTTCTTTGTTGGTGTGCTTGGAAGTCTTCTTGCTTTTGCTGATCCTCGTCACATCTCTTCGGCACATTTTCGGGCAGCATGGAAATGCGCTGGTATGTCCACGCTGCGAGCTCAGCAACCTGTTGAAGCTGTTCCGCAGTTTGCTCTTCGGGAAGCTCCAGAACGAGCTTGAGAAGATTTCTCATGTCATCAAGAAGATGATTTGCGTTGGGATGTAGGTCGAGCGTAGATGCCGGGCTAGAAAATGGTGGCCAGTCCGACATAAATGGCGAGTTGAAGGATACTTGGTAAGGTACCATGAATTCGTCTTTGAACTCAAACCCGTCCTTGTCAAACATGGATGTCGGGACTTCGTGAGCAAGTGCAATAGTGATGTCATCTCTAACAAAGAGTTAGTAGTGTGGCACATGTATAATGGTCGCTACATATCGTCTTACGTGATGACAGTCTTGGCAAGAAAACCTTGCATTCCCAGGGTTTGAAAGCCCCCTCGGATTCTGATCATGGATTTCAGGCCAAGCATATGAGCGTGCATCTCCTCGGTTGTCCCCCAGTACCACGAATCAAGAACCATCTGAGCAGTGCCCATAATGACTTCGTCACTGAGATTTTTTCCCACTTTGGCAATATGATCGTTGATGAGCTTGTGCACAGCGCTTTTGTGCGCCCAAACAACCATTTTTGGCAATTGACCAGTCTCATTCAAGAAGCAAGCCGATGTATAGAGGATAATTTGAAGGTTTAACGGCGACTTGATAGAGAGAGGAACCCAGTGCTTCATGAAGCGATTCGTTGGATCCGGAGCGCCGTCTACTACTGCCTTGAATCGGCAAAGTAATTGCAAATCTATACCGAGTTAGTGGATCTTTGGCAAAGTTTTGAGGTGCTAGAAAATAACATACAGATTCGAACAAGCTCAATGTTTAGCTTGTTGAGGGTCATGGGTAGGTTGTGGAGGTGGTCTTCGTAGCTGCTAACCTGCAGCGGCGGCCTTGTGGCGCGCTCAGCCATGCGGAGCAATGCTCTGGAGTCGAGCGTGTATTCGTCATTGACAATCTTGGTGGCAAAGTTGACTCGGACTTGAAGGATAGTCTTGAGAAGAGTTCGCATATTTTGAGGCTGCAAAAGGCCCGTCTCATCCTTGACAATAATCTTGAATGGCTGTTCCTTGCCACCAACCCCGCTGTTGCTTTTGGCATTGAGCTTGCTTTCCTCGTCGTTGTCGGTGTTGTTGCCATTTTTCAATGCACGATTCGAGTTGGACCGTCTTGGAAACTTGACAGAAAACGTTTGGGGGCCATTTTTCTGAATCTGTTCGCGAGTCTCCCGTTCCAATTGCAGAATGGCGTCTTGTAACTCGCTGACATCGAGATGAGAATACGCTGGACCTTCGACAACGACTTTGACATCGTTTGGGCGGGTGCCTCCCTGGCTTGAGGCCCTGTTGGGCGTGTCATGTAAGCATATGAACCGTGGCGCAGATTGAATGAACAGGGCATACCTTCTGGTGGCGGTGGTTGTGTATTCACATGTCGTTTGTGGGAACCTGCGCAGACAATTGGTGCAAGGTTGGCCTTGGGAACACTGGTCAAGGTTAGCATGGGTTGGCGGTTGATGTGAGAACGATAGTAATGTGATAAAGGGCTATTCATGCTGCAGCTTTTGGGTACTTGATTAAACTTGATCATTTCCATGACATCTGAACAGAGTACGAGCAGGCACATGTAGCCAACATATTGCGCCAGAGTGCCAGTGTAGCCGAGGCGACGGAGTAAGGAATGAATGGTAAGGCGGCTAGTCGAGAACTGACCTTTTGCTTTCGCCGGCGACATTCTGTGCACGAGGTTGCATATCTCGTCTTTCCCTGACCACGCTGGGATTGCGATCCCTGCGCCTGCGGATTGGGAGGCATCGTAGAAGATTCCGTACGCAGAAAGGTGCGGAGGGGGCGCGTAGCCCGAGGTGAGAGACGACGCTGATAACGGGCCGGCGTGAGGCGTAGAGTCTTGGTGGAAAGCGGTGCCTGTATAATAATATGGTATGTAAATTGAAGGAGGCGACGCAGTTGTCGAGAAATGCAATTATAGCACGGCTGCGTACAATTCACCGCGCAGCTACACAGCCTATTCGACAATGGAAGGGCAGAGGCAAACGGGCAACACGGGTGAGGCGATTTCGGATAACAGTAGATAGCGGGCGGCGGCGTTCTTGGTGCGAAAGAAGGAAGGAGCCTTTGGCCGAGGTGGCGGCGGCAGTCGATGCTTCGGTGAGTTTCAGGTGTTGAACCCGCTGTATCCTCAGGCTGCTTCAGTGGGCTGATTTACTCGAGATGACGGCAATCAGTCGTCGCAGTGGTGAAATAATTGGAAAGAAACCCTCGGTTCTTATTGTGCATACACGAGGGGAAACCCAGGGAAAAAAATCATGCAACAATGGAAAGAAGAGACGGGCAAACAACGCAAGGAGCATGGAAGAGCAGCGGCATGGGGGTGGTTTGGCGCCTTTTAGCGTCTGTCTTCTGGGGAAGGTCTCAAGGTCTCAGTGGGTATAGCCTGTCTAGGTGTCTATTTGCTAACTACGTTGGTTATAGCCCGAGTTGGCAGTCCAGGATGGAGGCAGGTGGATGCTCTTGATACTACTTTGACTAGGTACCAAGTATGCTGCCATCTAACCATGTATTACCAGTATAAAGTGCGATGCTGGCAAGCTGGATGTGCATGGTCCCGACCTGGTGGGAACCGGTGGGCGAGACCGGGCGCCAGCCGGTATCCAGTTACCAGCATGCCAGCGCCTCTCATTATTATTAGTAAAAGGCCAAGACGGCAGGCAACCAGTGACAAATGCTATCAAGTTGTCTGGATTCAAAGTGGACGAAGCTTCTTGTATACACCAGAGTATTTTCCACTAGGTAATCGCAAGTTGTTGCATGTAGATTGAGGCACATACACCTGCCTCTACCCAGTTGCTAGGCTCTCGGTGAAGAAACACCTCGGCTTTGACATTCATTCAGTGACACCTACCTGCATATGCTGCAAGAGGCATCACAATCTCAAGTAATACAGCTCAGCTCAACCAACCCCCTCCCGGACAATGCCCGTTCTCTGCTCGCTGCTCTGACCCGTTAAAACATGGCTCGCTCTCACGATCCATAATTACAACGCATCTTGAAAATCAAGAGATAATAACAAAAAAAAAAACCCCCGGCACACCTTTCGTCGCATCCTGGTCCCTGCTTTATTAGGCGGATTCTCCAAGCGAGTGATTATCATCTGCAGGCCAGGCCAGTTGCTGGGGGGCGGCGCGCCACAGAACCCACGAAAGTTCCCCAGGGCGGCGGCCAGGGCGCACTTGTTTGCCTAGGTATGGGCCAGCCAACTAACGTGTTTAAGTTGGGTACTACACGGAGTCTTCCGTTGCGCCAATCTTTGACCAAGTTTACTCAGGAAGAGGGTAAGACTGACCTCGTACGCACCCCCAACTCGAGCGACAAGACGACGCCAAGCGTGCAGAGAAGCGGGGCTGGGCAATGGAATCTGGAAAATGGACAATGGAGGGGAATTGTCATGTTGAGAGTATAGTTTGAGAGGGGGAAGGGGGACAAGTTCCCCAGGCCAACTTTAAGTCTGTTGCGGGCATTGCCCACCTAGTTACCTAGTCAAGAGCGCGGTATTAATGCCAGCAGCGGTTAATGGCCTTTAAAATAAGCTAGTTTGGCAAAGGATCCTTGTTTCCGAGTAAATCGCCAACCAACAAATTGTTACCGTTTCCGGCTACGTTACCCGTTTGACACACCGAGCTCTACTGTCCCTTTAAAAGCTGGTAGTTGGCGACGGGATCAGTTAGTTCCCTATCGTGGCTCTGCCTCGCCTTTCTTTTCGCCCTCGCACTGTCTCCTCACACGTGTCAACTAGTTGATTGGCGAGTTGGAGTTGCCGCTAAAGAGCCCAGTGCTCGAATAATCCCTCTCAGCTACTTTGATTGTATGTGCCCTGGTGCTTGTCTGCCTGTTATACAATCGTACAGGCGTTGCTTCGTAGAAACCTTGCAAGATGCAAGCCTACAAAGTGTTTCCGGATTGAAACGACTCGCTAGGATGAACGTTGTCTGTACAGGGTACCCATGCGGCTAATACATGATGTGCTGGCCGGTTGACGCCTCATGACGCAACTTCGCATCTGGCAACTTGCTCATCTACCAGCACCCGCTCGCTGCGGGCCTCGGCATCAAGAGATGCATGGCTGTTCTGCAAAGCATTAATGGTCGAGCCCATCTCTTGGCTTGGCCGCAATCTCGCTAGGTGGGCGCGTCACGCGCAAGCAGATCAGGGTCGTGGTTTGACAATTAATCTCGCTCCCGAGCCTACAATCTGTTCGATTGCACAATCTATGTAGAGCCGTCCCCCATATCAGTAAGATCCCCCACTCCGATGATGTTCTTCCACATCGCACAGGATCGAAAGTGCTGCCGCTAACTTAGTTGCTAGTGAACTAGTTGCAGAAAAGCACGACAGCCACCCGTCTCGCATCAGCTGGTGAGTCCGCAGACGAGCCAACCACGGCTTGCTGACAAGACTTGCGACAGGGAAGCAACCATGATGTACTCGACTAGTTGCCTGTATGGTATGATGATGATGCCGAGAATTCTTCTATAAACGGCGCCATCGGACCACGACCTTTTGGCATCAATGGTAGGTAGAGCTGTCTACAAGCCTCAAGTCTTGGACGACTCTTGGCAAATTGTCGTCTTGCTCGGCAGATGAGATGATTCGAGTTGCGACCGTTGCCCTCATTGCCTGACCACCGTTCTCGCCGTGAGTGTGGATGCCAGTGTGGATGGGAATGCTCTTGGACGGCGCCGTGGGCTTGACCAATTCGGGCGCACGACCCTTGGTCGCGCAGTGCAAGAGCGACGTCGGCGCCTCCGTTAATCCTATCTGCTCGATGGCGTGGATTTGACGGGGATGGGGAACCGGGTACTTGCTGTTCTTGGCTGCAATAAACGCGATTCTTGGCTGTGAATCAGAAACTCTTGGCTGCGCATCATCCTATACCAGAAACAAAAGGGAGAGGTCTCGACTCACGATCAATCTGCCAGCCACCCCAACTTGATCTTATCAAGGATCAAAAGCCATGGACAAGTGCTAGATGTTGGGACATGTGTGAACAAGCTTCAAACCAATCAGCACTCCACCTAAGCGGTGCGCCTTGTTGGGGCGCGACGCCGTGCGCCGATCAGTGATCCGCGAACTTGGATACCCGTCCAACCAGAGACGGCGCCTCTGAAACCTTGTCTATCGAGTGAGATGCGACGGGTTAAAAGACGCAGACCCTGCATTCAATTGCCTTGCAATTATTGCCTGCCCACCTCGCACCAGGTAGCCAATTTGCCAGTCTGCCTTTGATGTTGGTGAAGAAGAGAGAAGAAAAAGCGTCCGGCGAAATGTGGGCCGTTGGAGAACCTGTGGAGTTTGCCCGGTTGGCCAACAGCTTGATGCCCGTCTCATGCTAATATCGCTACAATGTATTTACAAGGGAGAACAAATGAAGCACTGTTTTGGGAAAAAATGCTGGGAAAGGTAATAACGAAGTCGACAAATAGAAAGGACCCACGGCGCCGGTGACTGAGAAATGACGTTGCCATTGTATCCATGCAGCACTGCGAGCTGAGATACCGGCGAGGCTGACCACGCCTCGTCAGCACTTGGCTCGAGCTGATCACGTTGACGGCCCGCAGTATGGGAATCGATCACCAACCAAAAAAACAAGAAACAAAAAACAATCGAAAAAAGAGAGAGAAAAAATATTGGAACCGAGAACGCTGCGTCGATGATGAGCTCAACAGCCAACCTGATCCGAGTCTTGCCAGGTCCAGGCTTCTTTTCCAAGGCAGTCAGTCCTCCTCTTGCTCCTTTTCTGGTGGACGCCGGGCTGAGCGATTCCCTGCCCATAACAGGGCGCGAATTAAGCCATCGTGTTTCTGCATATGGGCTTGTTTAACTAGACTGTTTGTATCCCATCATAAAATTAGATTCTGGCAAGGAGGTGCCAGGAATTTTTTCAATCCTAACCGGTTTTTGCTGCTATACGTGGAGAGCGGCCATACCGAGACTGTGTATGAGCTGTGAATGATCAATAGCGAGAGTGGGGGCTCTTCTCTTGAATATCTGTTGACCCCTCGTACATCAACAAAACGACTTGCTGCAGAATCGACTGTCAAGATTGGGAAAAAAAAAAAGAAAAGGTTTGTTTGCGGTGTGGCAAAGGAATGGCTTGTTCTGGATCGTTGTCTCGCTACAACCGACGCGCGTGCGGAAAAGACACAATGATTATGCGAGTTGTGGCACCAACACAGCTCCTAGGCTGAGGCAATGCTCAAATGTAGCTCATTACAGAAAAGTTATAGGGAAGCCACTGTACGCTGGCGCCAGAAGACGATTGGATTGCATCACTTTGAGTCTTTCCCAAGCCCACAAATACGACAGACAGGCCAGTCTTAGCCTCGATTTGCATCTCAGACTTGGCCCTTGACCATTGACGATTGCTCTTCCTCGCCGAGGCTTGCTTGGACCCTGGTCTGCCCGAGAGACATGTCTCAAACTGGAACAAGCTGCTGAATGTGGCTTGCATGTCCCATGAACCAGTGAACAGCCTCGCTACTGTCATTTCAATCATACCAAATAGGCTGAGCTTTACGACAGACTCGCACTACGTACGCTTATTCTCATATTGTAAAATGGGCCTGTCTATATGCGATTTCTTGTCCCAAGTCTTCCCATGCACTTTTGATAGACTTGGCCAAGCCTCTCATGTCGATCTCTATCAAGATCGGACGGTAGCCAATTGTCTCACATGTCGGTGCCAGCCAGCAGGCTGGATTTCGTTATTGCTCTTCACTGTCCAATGCCAGAAATCATCCAACGAAGCTTTGGGTCTGTTTAAAGCAGGCACAAACGAACTTTCCTCTACCCGCTGAGAAGCGCAAGTGTCATCGGCCAGTCCGACAAAGATTGCCCGTTTCAAGCCCGGGCCATTTGCTCATGCAGCAAGGGTGCCAAAAATATCGTTGCCTAATGTTTGCCGTGGTGATGTTGCGGAACGCATTTCCGTTTGGGCAACCGAAGAGTTTTTCGCGTCGTTTCTTCTTTTCACAGTCTAATACATGTTCTGTTACACTGGGAGAGGGTCGCCATTCAGCCTGGCCCGACGCCGATAGTAGCAGCAGCAGGACGCATCGGTGGTTTGGACCGATGCATTGTACAATCATCTCAATAGTCGCATGACTTTTGTGAAATGACGTAGCACATGTACAAAAAGGTCGAAAAGGTCGATTCCTTTCTTTCAAGACTTCTTGGCAAGTTTCTTATGGAAGGAACAATTCGCATCTGGTTCACTTCGGAACTAGGCTTCTGGCTTTCCGCGCCAGCGTTACTCAGCTGCAGCTCAAAACCTTGGTCAACCAACAGCACCAACAAACGCCACAATGAGCGACGGCAGGGTTTGATCTTGACAGGTCCAGATTTGAAACGACCCTTATTGAGCATTCTGGGCTTATAGGTCTCTTTCTGATGAGACACTCGTTTGCTGCACATACGAGATCCGTACAAACCATGGCGCCAGTGGTCAAAGGAGGGACATGCCCAGCTGGGCGGTAGTTGGCTGGTGCGGGAAAGAGAGAAAAAGAAGCGGGCGTTGCCACGTAGCTCTCTCTGTATTACTCGTTTATGCAGCAATTCGACCAACGAGGGGCAGCTTGTGTGGACTTATGCTGCAGGCAGCGCACCAGATGCAAAGTTTCCATTTGGTTGAGGAGGGGGGTTGGCATGGCATTTCGGTGTCCGAATCCACTCTCTCGGTCGCAATCAAATCCATGAACTGATGCTTTTGACAAAGAGGGAGGCAGGGTATTCCTCAGAAGAAAAAAAAAGGTCATGGACAAGGTTCTCACGCACTGCATACCAGGACCACTCCAGCACAACATGCATTACATGAAGAAAACGGGGCCGTCGACGTGGCCGATTCACGACGCTGCTTGTCCGCGGAAACAAAGGGGGCAAGCCTTTGATATCGGCCTTGTTTTTGCTTTGACAGAAAAGTCGGAATTGGAAATTCCTTTCTTCACCTTCCAATTTGCGTTGCTTGACTTTTGCGTCAGGATAACTTGGTTTTTTGATGGAGGCAGGCGGGGGGGAAGCGGGCAGAAACGAATCTTACCAAGGTACATCACGCGAGCGCTTGCTTTTTATAAGAAACATGAGTATTTTTCGGAACCGGCCGCTTTGCGACTTAGGCTAGAGAATGGCGGAGACTTCCAAGGATTCGTCGACGGGAGTATAGTTATGGAGATGGGAGGGGGGAATAAGTGGCAAGGAAGGGGCAATTGTGTACCAGTGTGCCGGGTTTTGCGCATTCTGGGCGTGCGCAGAGAATTTCCAGTTTCTTTTCGCATAATGATGAAATCTTGTTCTGTATCTCCGCTTGGTTCAAGATTCTTCTTCGGCAAATCTCGGGAAAAAAATGAGATGAAGCAACAGGCCATGTACCAAGAAGTTTCCAAAACAACGCCAAGGGGCGAAACCCGATAACCGCATCTCCGCTAACGTTCAGGGACCTAGCTAGCCAACAAACAGTAGTCCCCCCCCCCCTTTTAGTTATCGAATCCGACTCGCGTTTGTTGAGCGGCCGGTCGGCCGGTGCGAGCGCTCACACACAGGTTTGCGGGGAGCGGGAGAGGGGCAGGCGATTCATGAACCTGGTCGAATATAACCCCGAGCAGCAAAAAGCCCGCAGAGGAGTCTCGATGGTAAAAGAAAGAGAGGGTCAGCGAGATGAATGTCAAAAGCAACAG